AGGAAAAAGAAGGAAAAAGAAGAAAGAGGGGGGGGGGGGGAGAGGGAAAGGGGAGGAAGGAAAAAGAAGGAAAAAGAAGAAAGAATGGGGGGGGGGGAGAGTTTGGGCTTAAAAAGGAAGGGTTTTGTTTTGTAGAATTAGACTCAACGAACTATAGCTGCGGTGCATTTCTCCCAATAAAGAAATCTTTGATGGAACTGTTTGGTCTCCAGGGGATTTACTGAGCTTTGGGAATGAGTGTGCAGACTCTGACATATACTGCATATCTTCCGACATGGGGAAAAGGAAGACGCGACAGAGGACACCTTCTGCAACGCAACCCTCTCCTGAGCCACTGAAACAACAGAAGGCGGACAGACTCGCCACAAGCAAGCGAACTTCTCCAGTAAATAACGCTTCCCCATTTCGTTTACCGAACGGATATGACCCCTTAGAGTGGGACTCACGGGCTGAGGTAGAGAGTCAGCAACCGCTGCAGCTTGCTTCATCTCTGACAGAAAATGCTCCCTCCCCCAGAGGCTGCCGCCGTTTGCTCAGTTGCCGAACAACAAAATCAGGAAGGAGTCTCAGACCTCAAAAGCTTGAAAGATCGAAATGCATTAGCATTCATAACCAGACACAGCCTATCGACGGCACAGACTGTTCTTTCAATCTTTGATTTACTGACTACGATTAAACATCAAGTTGACTCTCTAAAAGATTCCTTCGTGGAATTTGTTAAGAATCCTTTAAACCAAGCCGAGCACTCTGATAAATCTAAGGAGCTATACCCACATTGCTCCTCGCAATCAGGCAGCAGAGGAAGGAAGAGTCAGCCTTTGAAGTTAACCCTTCATCAGGGCTTGATAGGAAAGACAAGGAAAAGACAAACGATCGTGTACGACTAGGTGAAAAGGGAGAAAAGCCTGCATGAGGCAAAGGCTATTTACAAACCAGTAAGATAGCTCTCCAAACACAACTTTGCGCAACTTCGTGTTGTCCGCCAGTTACGCCCTTTCCTGGACCGAGAGGCCCTTCGAACAGTCACTCATGCCCTGGTCATCTCCCATATAGTCTATTGTAATGTGCTCTACATGGGGCTACCCTTGAAGAGTATCCGGACGCTTCAGCTGGTCCAGAATGCGGCCGCGTGGGCGATCTTAGGTGCATCAAGAGCGGCACATATAACACCTTTGCTGTGGGAGCTGCATTGGGTGCCAGTTTGCTTCCGGGTCCAATTCAAGGTGTTGGTTATCACCTTTAAAGCCCTACATGGCACGGGGCCAGGTTACCTGAGGGACCGTCTCATCCCCGTTACATCAACCCGTCCCACCCAGTCACGCAGAGGGGACCTGCTACGGACCCTGTCTGTAAGAGAATTTCATCTGACGGGGTCCAGGAGGCGAGCCTTCTCTGCAGCAGCCCCTGCCCTTTGGAACCACTTGGGAACACTTATCGATGCCGCAAAACTGAAGAACTCAGCCCCTTTCTGGCAACTACTATCCCATCAGACGGCTAGATCCTCTCTACTCGCTTAGACTCTCACATATCGCCTGAGGTTTGGGAGTACCGCTTTCAGAAGATGTACGAGGATCCCAATGAGATGTCGACACAAATGAACGAAGGCTTAACTGAGTGGCCTCCAGTATCAACGGCTGAAATCAAGTCTCTCATTGGACGACTCAGAAAAAGGAAGGCTCCGGAGATGGATTTCATTCCAGCGGAAGCATTAAAGAATAATGTAGAACGGTGGACCCCAATTTTAGCATCGCTTTTTACCTATATTGATAACACGGGACGAATCCCAGAGGACTGGGGCTTGGCTATTATAGTCCTGATTTTTAAAAAAGAGAAGATAGATGACCCTGCAAATTACAGGCCTATTTAAACTAAACTAAACTAAACTAAACTAAACTAAACTAAACTAAACTAAACTAAACTAAACTAAACTAAACTAAACT